ATGTTAGGGCACAGAACGTATTCTTAACCTGGGGACTGTGTTCTGGACCAGTTATGTACTCATCTGATCACAGTATATACTTGAGAATTGTGTTATTGTGTTAGCATTTATAAGGTTAATGATGTATTATTGAATGAACTGTATGTTAGAATGTTTGGCATTTATAGGGTTAAGCGCTGTCCCCTTAAGAGATGGCTTAAGGGTAATGTAGTTTTAGCTGTTCAGTGAATCCTATGTTAAGTCAGTGGGAGGGGCTACTAAGTTCATCACAGGATATCCGGCTACGTGCCAGTTTGGAATGTCTTTGTCTGAGATGAGCATGGGACAGACCCTGTCTTATTTCACACTAGAAGTTGATATGGAGAGATTATTGTTTCTACCGATGTAAATGGGCAAATGTTCAGCTTCTGGACGCATCTTCAGGAATGTAAGTTTCTGTTAAGGATTCCCGGATTAAATATTTGTTTAAAACCATTTCGTTGAGTTAACTGCCTGATCTTGAGTGAGAAAGCATCTTAATTCAGGTTCCGGAACAGACTGTATCTTTGACTGGGATGTCACCATTGGCTGAATGAGTCACAGTTGGGTTAAGGGCACCTATCACATGAGCCATGTTTTATAAAGTGGGTTTGGTTTGCATATAAATTAAGGGAGGCCATATTTCATCTTATTGAAACAAATGTGAAATCATTTTTTGTTTTGTTTTTAGAAACCTTTCCCCCTGTGCTTGTTGATGTCAAAATGTTTTTTTTTTCTCCCTGAGAAATTCTCTCATCTCATTTCAGGACTCTTCAGGGAATCTGTTTAAATATTATAATAATAAAAATAAATATAATTAAGTAAAAATAAAACATAACTATTCCTTTTGCTTTTTCTGTCTTCTTGTTCTAGGACCTCATCAAAAAAGAGAAAAAAAATGTAGTGGCTGAATTCAGAGAACTACAACTCTGGTTAGAAGGACAGGAGAAGCTTCTGTTGGCTAGAATGGAAGAAACGGAGAAGGAGATTATGGCAATAAAGGAGAAAGTTTTGGCCAAGCACACGGAGGATCTGTGCTCTCTTGACGATCTCATCCAGGAGATAGAGGAGAAGCATCAGCAGCCAGCCAGCAAACTCTTACAGGTCAGGCAGGAAGTTGAGATCATAGAATCACAGGCCTGGAAGGGACCTTGGAGGTCTTCTAGTCCAATCCTCTAGCCAAGGCAGGAGTCCTTATACTGTCCCAAATAAATGGTTTGCCAATCTATTATTGGAAGCCTCCAGTGATGGAGCAGCCACAACTTGGGGAGGCAGGCTGTTCCAATGATTAATTGTTCTCACTGTCAGGAAATTCTTCCTTATTTCTAGGTTGGATTTCATTCTGATGAGCTTCCACCCCTTGCTTCTTGTCTTGCCCTCAGGTGCTACAGAGAGTAAATCGATGCCCTTTCCCCTATNAAACTTTTTTCTGTTGTTGATTTGGTGCATATAATCCAACAATCAGACATTTTTTCCCATTCAACAGTATATCAATAAAAACATATCTTCCTTCCAAGTCAGATTCAATCAAATTAGGCGACAACTCACTCTTGACATAAATAACTACCCCACCTCTCTTCTGAGGTGCGGGCGTTATAAACTGTAAACCCAATCGCGGATTAAACAAAAGTTTTTGATCCTTTGCTGTAATGTGAGTTTCTTGCAAACAAACAACATCATTTTTATGTTGTTTCAAATAATAAAATATTTTCTTCCTTTTCTGTGGAGAATTCAAACCATTAACATTCCATGTCAGGAACTTTGCCATCCTTGGTGACAGCGAGCCTCTGGAACACTCCTTGAAGATCAGCCATCACTGATCTCTTCGGTCTCGCTCCCCCCACTGGCTCTGAAATTACTTGCTGTGTTATAGGTGTCACTTCCAATTGTTGTTGCTCTCTCTCTTTGCGTCTATGGGCTGCACGAGTCATCCTCTGTGATTTTGGATCTCCTTTCATTTCCATAGATTGCTGCTTGGCATGGCCTTGTTCTTGTAAATCTTTACTTATTGATGATGATGTGGCTCCTTCTACAATTTTATCTTCTCTGATTCCTTCCTTCCTGGAGTCTAAAGGTGGTAGTGAACCCACTTTCAATGTAAAAATATAAAAATCCCTTGCCTTTGCGACAGTATTAAGCCGATAGCAGGTTCCCACATAAATAACCGTTATCCCAATAGGTATCTCCCATCTAAATTGGATTTGTCGCTTCTTCAGTTCTTCAGCCAGGAAGGCAAAATCTTTCCTTCTTCTAAGTATTTTAGATGGTATCTCCTTCAAAATTATAACATCTTGGCCTAGTAGTTGAAATTTTTGATTGTAGAAAGCTTGAATAATTTGATTACGAATAGACTTCCTCGAAAAATAAATGACCACATCTCTTGGAAGATTCCTCTGTCTTGCAACCCATGAATTGACTCTGAAATTTTTTTCCACATCTCTCATCATTTCTTCAGGTTGGCAGGACAAGACCCCAGCCAGGTCCACTGCAATTTCCTCCAATTTCTCTTGAGCATTTTCTTTCAGCCCTCTTATTCTCACTGCATATTCCATTTCTTTAAATTGTGACATAATAACTTCATTTTGAATCAAATCCACATTCTCCTCCACTTTTTCCATTCTAATATCCAAACACCCCAGATTTTCTTCCACCTCATCCACCCTTCCTTCAATACGTTCTGCATGCCCAGCCAAAACTTGAAATGCTAACAGTATATCATCTCTCATCTCTACATTCTTCTCTTCAAACTTCTTTTCA